GGAGCAAACACCTCTTCATAATCAATTCCTTTCTTCTGTGTGAAGCCTCTAGCAACTAATCTAGCTTTAAACCTCTTAGCTTCCACACCCGGAATTCCAGGTTTCACTTTGAATATCCACCTGCAACTTATGATTGGCTGATCTTTAGGTCTGTCAACAATGTCCCATGTACCATTCTTGATCAAAGAACTCATTTCTTCAGACATTCCTGCATTCCATTTATCCCAATCTTTGTCTTTAACAGCATCATGATAGCACTGTGGTTCTTCTGAATCTGTTTCTTCAGCTGCCATCAGTGCAAATGCAAACTGTGAGTAATCAGAGAACTTAATAGGAGCAGTAATCACACGTCTAACTCTATCACGAGCTAACTGATAACTTTTTAAACTCCCACTACTTGCAGGTTCTTCTTCTTCAGGTTCATAGTATTCTGTTTCTGAATCACTTGAATCTGCTTGAATAACTCCACCTGCTTTAGAACTTTCTCCTTTAACTAACTCAACTGTACCAAGTTCAGTGTGAACCTTTTCTACCTCACTAGAACTTTGTTTCTCTTTCTCAGTCAGATCTTTTGCTTGAAGATCTTTGTAAACCATAGCTTCATGGAATGTAACATTCCTACTGATTACACACTTCATTTCTTTTAACAGCCACACCTTGTACCCTTTAGTACCTTGAGGATAACCAACGAATACTCCTTTTAATGCTCTTGGTTTTAACTTTCCTTGATCCTGATGCACATAAGCAATAGCACCAAATCTCCTCAAATGTTTATATCCAGGTTTTCTATTCAACCAAAGCTCCTCAGGTACATTGTGATCAACTGCTGATGAAGGTGACCTGTTGACAAGATATGCAGCAGTTGCTGCTGCTTCAGCCCAGAAAATCTCTTCTAGACCAGATTCATTCAGCAGGCACCTTACCTTTTCCATGAGAGTTCTATTCATTCTTTCTGCAACTCCATTTTGCTGTGGTGTATATGTACACGTCCTATGTCTCTCAATTCCATTCTGCTTACAGTATTCATCAAATCTGTTGTTACAGAACTCCAATCCATTATCTGTTCTAAGAACCTTGACTTTCTTTCCTATTTGATTCTCCACAAGTTCTTTCCATTCACAGAACCGATCAAACGTTTCATCTTTAGTCTTTAAGAACATAAGCCAAACCTTCCTAGTCTTATCATCAATAATGGATAAGAAATACTGTTTACCAGAGAGAGATGGGGTTACATTTGATGAGCCCCATAGGTCTGCATGAACGTATCCCAGAGCATCTTCTGTATTGTGCTTTCCCACATTGAAGCTTAGCTTCTTTGCCTTTCCCATTACACAGTGCTCACAGAAGAGCTGATCTTTGACATCTTTCTTTTGAAGCAAACCTTTACCAGCTAAAACCTTCATGTTGTTTGTGCTCATATGACCAAGCCGGCTGTGCCACAGGACTGCATTATCAATACTACTTTCCACATTACAATTCTCTGTAGTAATCGTTTCACCATCAAGAACATACAACCCATTTACCAAACTTCCAGACAAAGCTGTTGCATTATTCTTGAAGTACCTGACC